CACTGTGGGAGTCCGCCATAAATAGTTTGCTGCAGAAATTTTGATCAAATATGAGCAGCAAAGAATGGAAGCGCGTGGTCAAGTTGGAGTATATGAAAATACGCCAGCAAAAGCGATACAAACGCGCTGACGAAATCAAAGAAGCATGGATCAAAAACTGGTAAATTAGCCGCACTGAAACACGTAACACTTAGYGTCTAYTTGCTCCGTTTATCTACTTAGGGATGAGCACAATCACAATGTGCAGGATTTATATTGCGACTCGAAGGTGTGGCAGGCAAAGCCATACGATCCTCCACACGTTGACTGCGTTAAGCGTGCTGAGGTGACTAGCTACAATGGCCCCAACAGCGGTCCGCAACGCGTGCCCATTTGCGTGATCAACGCCGTCACGCCCATACCCACAATGTACACATGGGCGCCCACACAGCAGAATTTCATGGTCGAGGACGAAACGGTGCTGCACAACATTCCGTATATGGGTGATGAAGTGCTCGACAAGGATGGCAAGTTCATAGAGGAATTGATCAAGAACTACGATGGCAAAGTTCACGGAGACAAAGATCCATCTTTCATGGATGACGCCATATTTGTGGAATTGGTGCATGCGTTGATGCGCTCGCACAGTAAGGACTTGGAGGAACCTACAGCAACTTCGTCTGTTAAAACAGAGACTGCAACAACATCAAAAGTAAAGGAGGAAGACGAAAAAGATGTGACACCGGCAATATCAGAGCCAACAACAGAAGTTTCTTCAGCTGTAGAGGACGATAAAGAAGAATCGGCCAATGCAGATGTGTCAGATACAAAGGGCAAAGTAGAGAAAGTCAAAGAGAAACTACCATTCCCCGCACCAATCATATTTCAAGCAATCAGTGCCAACTTCCCAGATAAGGGCACAGCTCAGGAACTAAAGGAGAAGTATGTTGGTTTCTGCATCATCAAAATTATGTTAATTGTGTCTTCTCATTTAGGTACATTGAGCTCACTGAGCATCAGGATCCCGAGCGTCCCCAGGAGTGCACTCCCAACATCGATGGCATCAAGGCGGAGAGCGTTTCCCGTGAACGCACTATGCACTCATTCCATACTCTATTCTGTCGACGCTGCTTCAAATACGACTGCTTCCTTCATCGTAAGTCGAATCTTTGTGTGTTGTCTCCAGTTGGGTTACTCTTAATAATGTTTTGTTTTTGCTTTTTCTCTTTATTTGGAAAACAAACAAAATTTGTTGCAAAATATTTCTTTTGTCTAAAAAAACTCTTAAATTTTGTTAAAATAAATAACTGCAATTTAGGTCACCATGTACAGGGTGAGTCGTTGTTGTAGTTGTTGTTCTCGATAACCACACGCACACACACTCATGCCGCCTAGGCCCAAATGTCGCCTTGCTCCACATCATCATCAATCTTTCCTATATATATATAAATTTTTAATGTCTGTGGAAATCGGCAAAAATTGTCTTGTGTCAAAATTTTCTTGGTGTTTCTCGCCTCATTTCGTGCGGCTTTTGCATCCCTCGTTAAGTAACGTATCTGACTCATGCTCTAACCCCGAATGTCTCATAGTCATGTTTTCTCTGTGATCCCTATCGAGCTGTGCTACATATGTTTACGTTTCCATTCACAGGTTTGCAAGGACACGCTGGTCCCAATCTACAAAAGCGTCGCTATCCGGAACTGAAGGCCTTTGCTGAGCCATGCAGTAACTCTTGCTATATGCTAATAGTAAGTCGCAGATTTCAATAATGTGAACAATTTGGGTGCTTATCATCATTGTCTTGCTGATAGGATGGGATGAAGGAGAAGCTGGCAGCAGATAGTAAGACGCCGCCCATAGATTCTTGCAACGAGGCCAGCTCTGAGGACAGCAACGACAGCAACAGCCAGTTCAGCAACAAGGACTTNAACCCCGAGAACGGAAAGGATAATAGCATAGCTGTCAACAGTGCAGAAATTAACTCCATAATGGGTAAGCTTACATTTGTCGGAAGTCAATGAGGCGCCCTGAAACTAAGCAGCTTCTGATTTAAAACTCATTCCGTTCTAGCTGGCATGATGAACATAACCAGCACGCAGTGCGTTTGGACTGGCGCCGACCAAGCGCTCTTTAGAGTACTGCACAAGGTGTACCTAAAGAACTATTGTGCTGTTGCGCACAACATGCTTACGAAGACCTGTCGGCAGGTTTATGAATTTGCGCAGAAAGAGGCGGCCGAGTTTAGCTTTGAGGATCTGCGCCAAGACTTTACTCCGCCGCGAAAGAAGAAGAAGAAGCAGCGATTGTGGTCTCTGCATTGCCGCAAGATACAGCTGAAGAAGGACTCGTCATCMAATCATGTGTACAACTACACACCCTGCGATCACGCCGGCCCTTGCGACATGAACTGCTCCTGCATTCAGACGCAGAACTTTTGCGAGAAGTTTTGCAATTGCAGCAGCGATTGCCAGAATCGTTTTCCAGGCTGTCGTTGCAAAGCGCAGTGCAATACAAAGCAATGTCCTTGCTACTTGGCGGTGCGAGAATGCGATCCAGACTTGTGTCAGGCTTGCGGAGCCGATCAATTCAAGCTGACCAAAATTACGTGCAAGAATGTCTGCGTCCAGCGTGGATTGCGTAAGTAGCGACTCCTTAAAGGACCATATGAGTATCTCTAATCTATTTCTTCGCAGACAAACATTTACTGATGGCGCCGTCGGATATTGCCGGATGGGGCATTTTCCTTAAGGAAGGCGCACAGAAAAATGARTTCATATCAGAATATTGCGGTGAGATAATCTCGCAGGATGAGGCGGATCGTCGTGGCAAAGTGTATGACAAGTACATGTGCTCATTTTTGTTCAATTTGAACAATGACTTCGTAGTGGATGCCACGCGAAAAGGCAACAAGATTCGGTTTGCCAACCATTCAATCAATCCCAATTGCTATGCCAAGGTCATGATGGTCACCGGGGATCATCGCATCGGAATATTTGCCAAGCGCGCCATACAGCCAGGCGAGGAGTTGTTCTTCGACTACAGATACGGACCTACCGAACAGCTCAAATTTGTGGGCATCGAGCGTGAAATGGAAATCGTTTAATGTGCTTACAAACAATTATATACAACAATACTTATCTACTCAACTAAATACATATTGACGCAAAATCAATCYACAATTACACAGTTTTGGCCACATTGGCTATGATTGGCTTCGGTCGGGCCTTAAAAATGAGCTTCTTTGTGCATATGGCACGTACAGTATATTCGGTTCGCTGGCGACTCTTGTGCTCCAGKGCCACWGTCTCATCCAGCAGCGTTCGTTCCGGTCCTTCGGKGGTATTCATSGTGCTTGCGTCCAGCGTTACATCAGTCGTGTTGAGTAGTTGGCGCCCTTCATTAGTTTTTGACTTCTCCAGAACTGCAAAAGGTTTCTCCAGTTTCTGCTCGCGTCCTTGCAGTATGTGATGGCCTATTATCAGTATCTGGAATCAGTAATGACGCATGTCTATGAGAAGATCTTTTAATAGCTAACGAAACTTACGGGCTGTCCATATTTGTTGTAGTACAGATCCCCTATGAATTGATCGTGCATGCTTTGATTGCTGCGCACCTCTAGATCACCTTGCAGCTCTATGATGGCCCACTCACCACTGCCGGCGYTGTGGCTAAAAGAAGAAGCAGWTTACATTWTAGYTTAAACCTATGTAAAGTCATCTATAGTATATAAAGTACATTTTAGTCTAAGCGTGTATAGAAAAACAACGTTTTACGACTGAGATACGTTTATTCTGTTGTGCACAGTGTCTTATCCCCTAAATTTCTTAAACAATGGATGTACGTTGCCATTATTCTTGCGCCGATGCTCATAGTAGACGGCATCGTCACCACCTGACATTGAACTGAGTCCGCCCATACGYTTCGCGGTGCCAGAACCACCTGGACGATAGCCYGGCTCGCCTGGCACTTTCTCATCCTCACAGTCCAAGTCGGAAGCAGACAASACCAACTGCAAGAGCTGACCCTGCTCCTCYTGTGTYCCATACATAAGGTCAGTTTCAGTGTCCATGCCTTTAAGATGTGTGATGACCTTATAGCTATAGCCCTGATTCACCAGGAACCGCTGGCGCTTGCGCGAATAGCTCATCTCCATTGTATCTTGCGAGACGAGCGTGTAAAAGAATGCATTATATTCCTCGGCAATGGCTCCCTTTTTGGCGCGCAGAATACGACCCAGTCGCTGTGCTTCCTGGCGTCGTGAACCGCCGTGCGATGAAATCTGAATTAGTACGTTCGCCTCGGGCAGATCAAAACTAGTATCGGCCACCTTCGATACAAAAATCGTGTTGACCTTTGAAAAAAGAGTGGTAAATTAGTTGCACTTCGTTGGGAAACCCATATTCACATACCTTGGCATTAAATTTGAAATTCTGTAGAATTTGTATACGTTCATTCTGAGATGTTGGACCATAGATGAATGGTTTGTTCATCTTGATGGCGTAGTGCTTCAAGGCGAACACATTGTCGGAAAAGACAATAGTCTTATCGCCACGCTTCTCGTGGTATTTAATAAGGAATTGGCAGCTGCGGAATTTGGAAGGATTCATCACATAAAGCAGCATTTTCTTGGAAGTTTTGGTGGTTAGATATTCGCGATAGAACTCCGGTGACATGGGACACCAGACCTCGGCRCACTGTACGCGTGCTATGTAGCCCTTCTTTTGTAGCTCCAACCAGTTAGCTTCGTAGAGCTTGGGACCAATCAGAAAATTCAGATCTGCAATTTTATCATCCTCACGCAAAAGCGTGGCTGTCAATCCCAGCTTGCAGTGGGACTGCACAATGGTCAGGACACGTCGGAACATCTTTGCGGGTATGGTGTGCACCTCGTCCAGTACCATGATACCCCATTCCTGCTCCTGCAACCAGCGCATCGTCTGCTCCGCCTCCCATGAACGCTTCTGTGTGTGCGTTATCATAGAGTATGTGGTAACCAGAATGCCACATCCCATGGGCTTATCTTTTGCCTCCGAGGTGAAGCGACAAATCATACTATCATCTGCTGTGGACCACATCTTAAACTGCTGCTTCCACTGTTCCACTGACACGCCGCTGTTGCACAGCACCAGGGCGCGTTTTCGCACAGTACAGCAGGCGGTGACACCCACCAAGGATTTTCCAGCGCCGCATGGCAGCACAATTACGCCAGAGCGGGCTCGCCCGTTGCCAAACATCTTGCGCAAACTCTTTTCTTGGTAAGGACGCAGCACTGCTGCTGGCTTAAGGTCAATGTTAATATCCGGATTATTGGTATCGTTGCGGAAATCATATTCTGCCAGCAACGGATGCTCGATTTCAATGCAACGCTTCTGGATAAGCTCAATTTTTTCCTGAGCTACCTCAAAGGACACGGTTTTAAGATTGGCTTCGTCCTCGTCCTCCTCTTCCTTGTCGATCTTCTCGTAAAAGTCTGTAATATCCTCAGGAACCGCAACGGTTGTAGCTGCACCCTCGGCTGTAGTCCCCGGTGCACCTGCTGCTCCTGCTGTTGTCGCTGTGGAGGTGCTAGCTGCGTCTTCTGCTGGATTGTCACTCGTGGCTGGYARCTTGGTACCGAACTGTGTGATTGCTTTGCTATCCATTGTGCCCTGTATAAAGCCTTCACCTTCGTTACGTATGAGTCGGCACTTCTGTATGACCGGATCTTTGAGCAACTTTTGCAGCACCTCCGGATGCGGAGACTCGATAAAGTATTTGTTATGCTTCAGCACAAGTTTCACCTTTCCATACGACAGCGTACAAAGGCGAATAAACTCCAATATGCCCTCGGGAATCGTGGTTTTGCTCAAACGTTTCAGATACTCTATAATGTCGTGTGTCTGCAGTCCCACAGACACAGCTGCGTACAAGCTGTACGCTGTCAGCTTGTACTCGTGTATGTGCTCGGGCCGGCAGACGGGCTCCGAAATAGCAATGAGAAAGTCATGGGCATGCTTGTAGACCGGCGAGAACGATTCAAGGAACACATGCCCGTTCGGTGCCACCCACAGAGGGCGATTAGCGTGGTCTGGACGCAATTGCATCTGAGCACGGTAATCCTTGGCTCCGTATTCGTCTGTGTTGATGTTCTCGTCATTAGTTTCTGCGTTTTTGGACGCAGCACCTGGCACGCCGTCCGCCTCGCTGACGCAGTCCTGGCTGTCATTATCATCGACCAGTTGGGTGTAAGCCTCATCTTCTGCGCGACGCTTCTTAGCTGTGAACTCGCATCAGTTTTACCGGATGATAGGAATACTCTGACATTATTGACTCTTACCAAATTTATCGCTCGAGCCCCGATCTTTTTTAGACTTTTTCGGTGGACCCATTGTGAAATTGTTTGTCGGTGAAACTTTGTTTCACAAATGAAACAGCTGTGTCCAGTGTTGCAAACTTAAAAATAAAAGCGAAAAAGGCGCGAGAATACACGAGAGCTGGCAACTGTTCTATATGAGCGATATTGTTTGCTTCAAAACCCTTATACAACTATATTTATTGAACGAGTAATCKTATTAGGTAACTTACGTTTTGACGATGATTGGCATAAAGGCAGCTTGTTTATAAATTTACTTGAGAAACTCTATTTTCCACTTGTTTAGCACAAAGCAATTGGACAGCGTCAAACAACCGTATTGACACTTTTAGCACCGAAGCTAACATTTATAAGCGTTGCCATATCRGCGAGCAAACATCTGTTTATGTTATATTAACAGACGGTGTAGAGTAACGGTTTGATTTAAATTTGAGGTACATTTTCTATATCCTACTCGCACATACAATCGAACGAAACTTGTTTTCTATTGGACGGGATCTTGAGCCCTATATACTTATTTATGTTATACTTTAATGATAGATAGTTCATGTGCTTTGTCATATAACTCACATTTATGTAAAATATCTACARTTCCACTTCTTAACCCTGAATCATGGCCGTAGATAAGAATAAAAGGAAAACAACTACCAAGGCAAATATAAATTCAAGACTAACGCATTTCCTTCAATCGAGTTTATGGCAAATATGTCTCCTGATCGCCTTATGCGATTTGGGACATGCGCTTTTCTTTGTTGTCAATGCGACCATTTCATTGCTCACGAGAGTAAGTCAGACATTTGAATGAATTTAATTAGGCCCCTAAAAACTATTAAATATCAGTTCAATATATACTCCACATTGGCTCTTATGGGAACTGTATTTTGGGTGCTTGTTGTGGTACTATTAATCGTTGGCCTCACGATGGTAAGTTTATTATTATTGATATCATAAACATAATATATCTACATCTGGTATAATATATTACAATCAAGCGGCGTCCTATATTAGTAAAAATATGGCTTATCTTCTCAATAATTGGTTTCATTGTGGATATAGGATTTTCAATATGGGGCATCGTGTCKTCTGTAACAGTGGATGTGGATCACCTAAAAGAATTTTCCATTATATTTGTGGGAGTTTGTGYGTGAGAGTCCATAATTTTTGGATACATAATATATTTTCTTTTTTCCAGTTATCGAAAGCATCTGCATATATCTGGTGTATAGGTACTATTTAGGTATGGACCCGTGTCGGCTTATCGATGAGCCCGAAAGAGGAAAGAAGAGAACCACAAAGAAGAATCGGGATGACAGGGCGTGTAAAGGTATACGTTGGATTTATCATAATTTAAATATATGTTTACGTTAATCGATTTATAGATAGCCAGAGGAAGCCCAAAGCGCACGAGAAAAAAACAGTTAAAAAGAAACCGGAAAAGAAGAAACCTACAAAAAAATAGTCTTCCTTCTAGTCTCCTCAGCAAAATCCATATACCAATCTTATGTACATAAATATGTCGTAGTAGACTTTGTGTATACTCTCTCAGTAAATATATTTTTTATAAATTTTCCATAACATTTTTTTTTTTTT